CCGCCGTTCTCAAGCGACTCCTTCCACACATTCACTCGTCGTACCAGTCTCCCTCTATCCGCATCCGCCAGCGCGATATCGTCAGCGTACATAAGCATCCACGGGGGTTGCTCATGCGTGTCTCGGATGGAGCTTGAGACCTCGTCTAATATCACGCTGAACAGATAGGGACTGAGAACTGAGCCCTGGTGAACTCCGACTGTGACAGGGAAGGGTTTAGTGTCACCAACAGCAGTCCTAACCATGGATTCGGAATCGCGGTACATGTCTCGGATGATGTCAATATAAGCTTCTGGTACCCCTTTGGATCTCAGTGCCCACCAGATCATTACACGGGGGATACAGTCGAAGGCCTTCTGCATGTCAAGAAACATGAAATGCAGAGGCGTATTCTTCAATCTGTATTTCTCCATGATGACCCTTAGGGCAAAAACAGGATCCATGGTCCCAAGACCAGGCCGAAACCCATATTGACCCTCCGAGACAGCACTCTCCTGTCGGATCCGAGAGTCTATTATACGCTCGAAGAGCTTCATGGTGTGGGACATGACCTTTATGCCCCGATAATCGCCACACTTCTGCACCGATCCCTTCCCTTTGAAGACTGGAGTGATAATACTCAGTCTCCATTGGTTAGGGATTTTACCGGTGAGGAGCACGCGATTAAAGAGGCCGGTAAGGATGCCCACACCACGGGGACCCATTGCCTTCCAGGCCTCGATGGGAACCCCATCGGCTCCGACAGCTTTCCGATTCTTCATGCGACGAAGAGCTAAGTGGACTTCCTCAGGCGTTACCGGTCGCACTAGTCCCTGATTCGGAGGGAGGACCGGTGGCTGCACCTCTCTGTGCTGCTGATTCAGCAGCTCGTGGAAATATGAGCGCCATCTCTCCTTCACCGCGTCGACCTCGCATATAAGGTTGCCATGAGGGTCTTTAATGCAGCGACACTTGGAAATATCTTGTGCCGCTAAGACCCTCGAACGTGCCAGCTTAAAGATAAGCTTCTGCCCCTCAGACGATTCCAACTTGTCATACAACGGCTGCAAGTGGTCCCGTCTGGCTCTGGCTACAGCTTTCTTAGCGGCACGTTTGGCATCCCTATATGCGTCGCGGTTTTCAGAAGATTCGGACGCTTGCCACGTTTTGAAGAGGGCTTTCTTCACCCTCACCTCCCTCTGGACTGTGTCGTTCCACCACCAAGTTTCTTTGTCACATTTGCGACCACCCTTGGACAAGCCCAGCACCGCTTTCGCCGCCTCAGATATGGCAGCCTGAATGTTGTCCCAGTGGTTCTGGACTAGATCACCTTCAGTGTCGGCGCATTTATCGCCGATCGCTGAGATGAACTCCTGGGACGTGGTACTATCAAGCCGCCACCATCTGATTTGGCGTCGGCAGCGCTCAGCGGGCTTGTCGGCCGGCTTTACGCAGAGATCCATGACAAGAAGACGGTGTTGCGCAGTGAGACTCTCACCTGGTATGACCTTGCAGTTGGCCACTTTGCTGATATGGTGTCTCCTGGTGAGTAGGAAATCGATTTGGGTGGCGTGTCCGCCGCTCTTATAGGTGATTAAATGCTCGGGGTTCTTTTTAAAGAACGTGTTCACGATGGCGAGATCGGCCGCCGCACACGTTGTGAGGATGTCTCCTCCCTCCGCGTTGCGACTGCCGTACCCGTAGCCACCGTGGACCCGCTCGAACCCTTCACACGCCTCACCCACATGACCATTCAGGTCGCCACCCAAGACGACTGCCTGAGACAAAGGAATGGCACTCAGCACTTCCCCGAGTTGATCCCAGAACCTCGCCCTGTCCGTGTCGCTGCAACCGGCCTGAGGTGCGTAGGCGCCTATCAAGTGGGTCACGACCCCTTCGATAAGCATCCTCACTACCATAAGCCGGTCGCTAAAGCGTTTCACTTCCAGGACGTGATCGTGAAACTCCTCGGAGAGCACCACGGCCACCCCGTTCACGCCCCCAGGAGCACCGGTGTAGATCAGCTTGTAGCCATTCCCAATGAGCCGGGATCTGCTGCCTTTCCACCGAGTCTCCTGCAGGAACGCCACGGCGACCCTCCGCCTGGAAAGCACGTCTGCTAGCTCCCTCGCGCGTCCAGTCAGCGTGCCAATGTTCCAAGTGGCAAAGCGGAGCTTCCTGTGATGGGTAGGGGCTCGCCTCTTTAACCGTGCCCACCCTTGACACGGTAGCCCTAGTCCACTTGCCACAGAAGTCGGGCGAGGCTCCTGCGCGCCGTTTTGCGGCGGCGCCCTATCCCTATGCCATATCCTTCTGTTGACTTCCATAAGTTGATGTGGCGGTGTTGGTTTTTACGGGAGCGACTGCCGTCTGACCTCCCAACCCCCGAAAGGGAAAACCCCTCGCTAGAGCCTCGTCCGTCTATCAGCAGGCGCACCACTTGCAGGTGAGGTTAGCTTGGGCTCCAAGATGTAGGTGGAGCCCCCAAAACGCCCAAGTCGTAGCGCCATCTATGAAAGATTTATCACCCAGTTAGTACCTATACAGCTACTAATTCTGGCGAGAGATGTAGCTATTCACTGTATTTTAAATTTTTATTGAATTGATATTCAATTATTTTTTTGTGAAATTACTCCACTAGTTTGTTGTAATCATTAATACAAAGATCGAACACTCAGAAAAAATTCCTTCGATCCAGTCGGATTCCAATCGACGTCTTCTTGCATAGCGTATCAGACGCTATACCAACTAAGCCACGGAACGAACCAACGGACCCAACGAATTTTTCTATGTGCTTGCGTTGTGTCTTTGTACTTGGTTTTTCAACGACTTTTTAGTCGTTGAAAAACCAGGCGCTAGCCATCTATGAGAAATCTATGAAAGATTTATCACCCAGTTAGTACCTTTACAGCTACTAGTCCTGGCGAGAGATGTCGCTATTCACTGTATTTTGAATTTTTATTTAATTGATATTCAATTATTTTTTGTGAAATTACTTCACTAGTTTGTTGTAATTATTAACACAAACATCGAACACTCAGAAAAAATTCCTTCAATCCGATCGAAATGTTTAATGTTTTTTTATAATAAGGGGAATTTCTTTTTTTATAATATCAATTAAAGGGATGAACAAGTCGTGGGTCTGATGGTAAGTTACACGCGTGTCCATGACAGTTATAGTGTCACTCAGAGCTTTAAATCGCAAAGATCGGAGGGGCACTGCCACTGCACCCATCATCCTGAGATATAAGTTGACAAGTCCCATGTGCTTGTAATTTCTTTCCACTCCCTTCAAATATTTGTTATTATAAAGAAATTTTTAAATGCCTTGCGAATATACAACAATTTTAAGTACAATTACTTTCTTGAAAATAATTTTAAAATGAGAATAAAATAACATGAATTTGACGATTTCATTCTCATCTCTGAGCTCACGGGTTCGATCCTCGATCGGGTCAATGCGGAGACTAACTTGTTTACATCGTCTCGGGACTGGGTGTTTGTTTGCGGTACCATCGTTGTTTCAGATTTCCATAACACAAGTTCTTTAGTTACTTATTTTGGGATCAGCGCAACGTATGTGATGTTGTTGTTTAATATATTGAGTAATCTAATATAATAATAATAACGCACACACTCAACATAGCTCCGCACTAGGGAAACCCTGAGTCGCGGGTGTCATGTACACACACACAAACAACCACAAACTACACCCAAACTCACGAGAGAAATAAATGTAGACCATACAAATATTTCTCCCGGCCCGGGAATCGAACCTGGGACCCCTGCGTGGCAGTCCGGCATGGTAAGCGTTCGGCCACTGAGGCAGTTATTTACAATTCAAATACATTACAAATACTTTCTCAAAAAATCACTTAAAAAGTAACAATAAAACAACACATCTATCCATTATATGTCATTTATGTGGTTTCGTTTACACAATAAATATTAAATTCTGTAATCATTAATTTTAATAGTACCTCATAGGAATCATTAAATATTAATCGTATGTAATAAAAATCCGTTCACGATCTTAGCATTAAACTTCAAAACAGTTATAATAATTCAAAATATTCACTCTTTATTGTGGAGCCTGAGGCTAGTTTAAGAAATACGATTTTCAATCGATGTATGTAAATTGTATACAGAAACCTAAGACTGTTTTCAAAGTTAATACTTGTTATCGGTCTCAAAAGCCCAAACCATTACCATAATTATTATTAATAATAACATTTGAACTAACATCTACGAAAAAATATAACCTTTAAAGAGTTTCTCATGCTGCACAGGGAAATCTGCCTAATGAACTAGTTGTAGTTTTATTTGCTCATCTATCAAATAAACAAATTTCACATTTAGAATTACATTCCCTTCACTTTTCCCTAACTAAATGGGGAATGTAATCAATATTTTTATTAAGAACTTATTGACTGTGGCTTAGAGCAAAACAGGTTTTTAACCGTGGTAGTATAGCGTAATTAATTTGTGATTATTACATAACAATGTAGAGCGGTTGCATTAAATTTTAACTACTACATCAATTGCAAAGAAGCAGGTTTTATAATGAAATATTAGAAGATATAATTATAACTCAAGAAAATTATGTAGTCGTACTAGATACATTTAACGAGACATTAGGTGTCACTAAAAATAATAATGAACAAAGCCACGTTCTGAGGCATATTATTAATTTGATAAAATGACATTGCATTATTAACGAGCACATTATGTTAGGAAAATTGCGGATTTTAAAACTAATGAAGCCAAGTGAAAGTTTCATTATACACGCTTCATTAATTATGTTAAAAGTTAGCATACCGATACACGAACTGAATTCGATATTTTTAGTTTAGTCGTTCAAACGGTCGACATGGACAAATATATTTTTGATATCTTATTTACTTACCACGGTTTTGTAACATCTTTTACCGTTATAATGTCTGATACGTAACGGAGTTACCTTTTTCTAATGACATAATAACTGTGATCCACTTTAAGATTTTTATGTTTTGTTCCAACAGTGTTCCGATCTTCAAGGACTTGCCTGAAGACACGCTGATCAAGATTTCCGATGTGTTGGAAGAGACACATTATCAGAACGGTGATTACATCATCAGGCAGGGTGCGCGTGGTGATACCTTCTTCATTATATCCAAAGGACAGGTGAGTCAATTTAAAAAGTAAATATTTTAACTATATATACACTCGTACATACGTCTTGTAAAACAACTCTGCAGGACTTGGGCTGCAGATTAGGGACCTTACAAACATCATTAAATTGCTTTGTAGATGCGCAGGTTTCCTCGCGAGGTTTTCCTTCACCCAAAAGCTCATGGTAAATTCCAATTTAAATTTTGCACATAAATTGTGAAAAACTCAAAGGTGCAAGTCTGGATTCGAACTATTTCGAACCCATGACCCTCTGCTTGAGAGACGGTAGGCCAAACCATTAGTCTACCACGGCACCATATATATTGTATATATCTTGTAAAATGATTATTGTCAACTTGGCACAATAAATTACTATTTTAGCTTGGGTAATATGAAACCGTTAGTAGTTGACAACATCGTACAACTCACAAACAAAAATAAATTCAAAACATAACTATTATTAGAACCACATGTTCAAAAAGAGACAGATAGTGGTCTCTCACTTCAGCATCTACAAACGCATTGAAATTCAAATTTTCAAATCGGAATTGTAATCGGAATATTAGAGATCACTGAACCAATTTAGTACCGTATCGAGGCACCCAATACAGTTAACACCACATCTGTCAATATACATTCGTAAACAATGGTTGATATAAATAGAATTAGGTCGACCGACTGGTCATTCGCCTTCACGAGCTAGCAGTTCCCTTTAGTTTCTCTAATTCCGTGTTCTGTACGTCATTTTTGTTAACAACAACAAAATTTAAAACTTCTATGATGACTTTGCTGATGTCCAAAAATACTATTGGACTAATTACACGATAGTTCGTAAAGTAACAATTGTCTCGTTAAGGAGTAACAAGAGAGATTTGTCGTATTTCTAATTTATTTCGATGACACTATAGTAAAGCATATTCTACCTACTCGTTAAATGTGAGAAGATGTTCTCTAAACACGAAAGTCAACATTTTCACTTTCGTTCCGCGGATCAACTTTCGAGAGATCAACCGTTCGAAGCGACGTGACTTCTTCGCCTTTAACCACGCCTCTGTGTTTTGTAAACATAATTCTAAAGCCGTCACTTCGTAATTCGATTCTTACACTATCCGTAATCATATTTCGCTTACGAAATATATCATAACAATAACAATAATTTCGCGCGATAGCGGATTTCTTTTTGTTTATTCGTACCGTAAATTTTCTTGCCTTTCTAAATTGCTCTCTGGTCTACCGGTTCTGAATTAATTTTAAGTTATATAGGTAGTTACATGGCTGTTGATTCAGTAAACGTATAATGTATCGTGTCAAAGACGGAGACTGTGGTAGTAGCTTACCTTGGCATTTAACTTTAGTTCTCAGTAACTTTTCTGCGAAGTCTGAATCTTAGTTCTATAAGTTCAGACTGTTGTAAAGTTTTTGCGTTATACCAATTGAAACGACTTGTTGTAAAAACTTAACATGTAATGAGTTTTTCAGATGCATTATAGAGCGTTTCTAGTCATTACTTTTTACTGCTCTCGGCTTTAAAGTATTGGGTGTATCGAATTCATGTCCGTGCTTTGAAAGAGCGTTCAAAACATCGTGTGACTAAATTTTTTTATCGTAGAAGCTGTAGAGGCCAAAGTGCTGTGCTATTGTACCTACAAGGTCAGCGTACTGCGCATGCCAGAGGTTATGCGCTCGGGCATTTTGAGGCCAGATTTTTGTACTCTGTGAGAAATATCCAACAATTTCTCGTTTTACAATATGCGCGTGTATTATCTGGCATGAATACTAATGACCGGTTTGGATAGAGTATTTTTTCTTTAGTAAGTCTTTGTTACATAGTTATTTTAGGAGGTTTTTGTCAGGTTGCTGTGTTATGAATATGGCCTGCGTCCATTTGAAAAGCGTGGGCTGAAGCGTGGTTATTAGGATAACCTCGTCGCGTTTGTGTGAACACAAATTACATAATGTATGTTTTTGTAGTCCTGTTCAGTTGATATAACAGTTGTTTAATAAACAACGTCGCTATTTACAATTAGCTAAAAATACAAACCATTTGTTTCCATTAAAAAGAAACAATTTTTAAAATACAAATTATTATGCTCGTTTATCATTATTCGCAAAATTACAATGCAGATTTGTAATCATGCGCATATGTAGACGCATTATGACGACCCACAAGTATTACTTAATCTATTTCGAAATACGATATCATTATTTCTTTAAATTATGAATCCCAATTCAATTTCAATATTATAAATGACGTCACCTGAAATTAAGCAAGACCTTATGACTCAATTATTTCTACACAGTATATATAGCATTGACTTTATTTATGTAACAATCCGCGAGTGTTCCCACAAAGCGATACAATATGCGTTCATGTAATTTCACATTGCCAGTTTAATTTGTGAGGATGCCTGATGAATCACAATTCACATGTCTCATTTCCTTATTAATATAGAGTTAGATGAGGACACTAATTCGTCGATTGTCTGTTGTTTTAAATTTTGCTTGTTTAATTTCTCTACTGGAGATTGCTGTGGATAGAGAATTCAAAATTCGAGAGAGGCCTTTGTAGTGTGACACTAATGAGGCTAATTAAAAATATATATATATATATATAAAATATTCAAGGTCTTCAGTATGTGACGTGATCGTCATTTTAGATAGTTTAGAAATTTAACTAGTATTTAATGTAACTTAATTAATGAATAACGTACTAGAATAGATATATATTTAAAAAAAAAGGCGTTTTACCAACTATCTGATGCCCAGGTCGGCAAGCTATTTAGAATAAATATAAATTATATATCTGTGGAGAAAATAAATAAATAAAATAGCATAGAATAGAATAGAATCATTTATTTCATATTATCAAAGTCACAATATTACAATTCGAAATACAATGTCAAGGGAAAATAAAAAGATATCTTTTTATTTTATTTTTGATTTTTAATTATTATTGTTTGCGTTAGTGACAACGCCAACAATAATAATCAATATAAAATAAAGTACTATAACTACTGCCTGTCGAAATACAGCGAAGTCAAGTAAAACAAAATTACAATTGTTTCAAAAGAAACTCATGGACACTGTAGAATTCATTACCCAATAAAAGGAGTTTGAGTCAGGCATACAAAGTTTCGTTAAGTTTATATAAAAATTAAATATTTAAAGGCTCTCATATGTGGGACGATTTGTCGTCTCGATCGTTCCCATGTCATTCCAGACTGATTGAAACGACGAATTGATAGTGTATGTATAACATATACATTTTAACGATACAGTTAAAGATTTACTTGAACGCCTAGGGAGTAGCGACGGATCAATACACAGACATATATCTAGAAAGACTTCGCGTGCCCAAAGTAAGTGAAATTCACTTACTTACCGCTGCTACACTTTAGAACACGTTCGTCCGTTATCGTAGATAAACACCAGTCGAAAACGCGAAAAATGCGTAATTGTGCCATTATACACTGCAAAAGCACCATAACTGTGGGTAAACGGGTAAACAGGAACGTTTCCTTCCACGGGCAAGTGATTTGGTAATCAGAAGATGCATAATTTACTTTAAAAACAATTATTTTGGTTTCGTATGAATTTCGAGATAACAATAAGCAACCGAGTGTATGCCTCATGATTTGTAATACATTGCGGCTTTTACTTGGTGCGATATATTTGTGATCCTTTGTTAATACGCCATGAATATCGAACGAACGCACTTTTGTATAATGCTGAATGCGTTTTGCGTTTTTGCGTTTCGTGGTACTGCCGGTTGTACATTTCTTTGGCCAAATTTAACATTTAGTGATGTATACGTTAGGCAACACGGTTCTCGATTCTGATCGATTTTGAAAACAAAGGAACGAAAATTATTATGACCTTAGCAATATCATACAAATATTCTATAACTCTTTTGTTATAACGTTTAGTAAAGTTTCGTTTTTTTTCAGTTTTGTAGTACCTGTTATCAGTAGTATCTGTAATTTCGATAATTTTTGCAGCACGTTGCCTCGAACGTCCGAATATAGTGAGCAAATAATCACAACCATCGCCGGATATGTAGTACGAGTACCTAATAAAAATATATAATGCAAAGAATTAACAGTGCGCTGTCGTTACAAAAATCTGGAGTTGGTCATACGTATGAGTTCCTTGCTTTCGAGGACGAAGGTGGTCTAGTTTATCCCACCTAAGTTGCTATCCAAGTATGCAGAGTAGCAGTGTTAGAAATCCGAGAAATAATAAACAAATCACACAACACACACACACAACACAAGAACAAAAAAGCAAAATTAATTAAGGCAGTTCAAACATTGACGTGCGTTTTCATTATTTAAGTTCATCGATAAGAACAAAGGTATAAAAAGATGCTCTATAATAAGCTCATTTTATTGGAAGGACAATAATTAAGTACTTGAAGTCGATTAAAAATTAAAGTCTTAATTTTTTTCGATTAAAAATTTAAGTCTTAATTTTTTTCGATTAAAAATTTAAGCCTTATTTTTTTTCGATTAAAAATTTAAGTCTTAATTTTTTTAAGTAATCAAAATGTTTTAAAAACAAGTAAAATAAAGGACTTAACAATCTTATTCTAGTATTTTTCTACTATATTAATATTACGACTACTTGTAATCAACAAATATTTGAACCAAAATTATTATATTTAGAATCGATTGAACAAAATACGCTTGCCGCGTAATCCGTTCAATGAATCGATTAGAGCGAGCGGAACGAGGTTTTCATCACTAAATAGTGCTTGAGACGTCATAGTGGGTACAAAAAATGTGGCACGCTTGGTTTTCATACAAATTGTTGTACTTGCGGCGTCTATCTAGATATATGTTTGTGGATCAATACGATTATCGTGACGATCGATCGAAACGTCCTCGTCTGTATATGGGTGCCTTGAATGACGATTTTATTTAGTTGGTAACTGTTTTTACAGACCTAAAGTTGTGGCGAAAGTATATATAGATAAATTACATTGACCGCAAACAATTTTCATATAAAATGCACATTATGTTCAGTATACAATTTTTTTTCACACTCATAGCCCCGCACTAGGGAAACCCTGTATCGCGGGTGCCATGGACACTCACACAGACAACCACAAATTACACCCAAATTCACGTTTCACGTTAACGGTTAATAAATATTTCACACAACAAATGTTTTTTTACGAAGAAATTGTAATTTTGTTTATTTTAAGATGCCGTTATATTTTGACAACGTTTTGTATGTATATAACTTTTTAGTTATGTTTTATTTTAATTTAATATTATTGTTTACATATCAGTGATAATTACATGCCTCATACTTAATTTTTTTTAATTTAACGTTTTTATTACTTCAAAAGTAGTTGTCTTCCTCTGAAGTTAAACAAATATTGTGAACAATACATTTTGTAATAAGTACAGGACGTCTTAGTCATCAACTGAGTCAATTTTAATTTGAGGTCCTCCTAATAGGATATTTGATGCACTCATATAAAACGCTCCCTGTCATCATTAATTCTCGGTATGACAATATTGTAGTACCACGTTTCCATGAACATCAATGTGTCGCTTTACCTGTTCAATGATTTACTAATCACATACAAATAATAAGGAAAACGGTTATGGATAATTAGTTAACAAAAGCTGTTATCTATTCTAAAATATTTTCAATGGAAGCGTATCGAATTTTGTGTTTTGACCACACATTCGTGCTGTAGAATTATTAAAAATTTATGTTAGACGTTAGAATATTTAAATTTCTGTTACTTTAACCCAGAGCTCATTATTATTACTTACATAACTGCTTTTACCCAAAGTATTCCTCACACATGAAATTAAACACTGTTCTAACTCAAAATTGTGGAATTGTAAAGATCAATTTGAAAGTTCAAAAAATTACTGAACGAAACTAATAAATATAATATTCTCGTTTATAAATGGATAACTAAATATTATGTATAAATAAAAATAAACACATTATTTTCAACAATATCCATCCAGTATATTGTTTTCTACTCAAATCGTTTTTTCTCAATTCCTCAATTTTGAGTGTGGATAGTAATTAGTTTCATGCGCGACCTACTAGTTATAAAGTAGTTTCTGATTATGATTGCCTTCATTATAGTGTTATTAAATTACCTGGGTACCACCGCTATACACCTTTTAAGTTAAATTTAGTTTTATTTTTTTTATTTCTCGCTCATACCAGTTTTAATGTCAGCATAAAAACTGAACATCTGTCACAAAGCCTTGTTTATATGGTAAAAGGGCTTAAAGGCTCAAAACTGGTTTGCGAAATGGACCCAATATAGAGTATATAGTTTTCTGAAATATCTGCTGCGTGTAATGAATATAATACTACATTTATTTCTGTTGTATAGAGCGTGTATTAATCATTTCTACGCATTATATCCGTGTTATTTTATTTAATATGAAATAACAAACGAGAACATAAACCAAATGAAACGCCGTGTCTTAATTTTGTACTTGTTCAAATGGAATAGTAAGATATGTCTACAAATCTTAAATTTTTAAATTTTAATTAATTTTTAAATTTAATTTAATTTTAAATTTTTATTGAATTGATATTCAATTATTTTTTTGTGAAAGTACTCCACTATTTCGAATCGATTTTCAACTCCACTATATCGAAGGAATTTTTTCTGAGTGTTCGATCTTTGTATTAATAATTATAACAAACTAGCGGAGTAATTTCACAAAAAATAATTGAATATCAATTCAATAAAAATTTTAATATTCAGTTGTATTGTTAGGCAAAACAATTCGAAAGTTACCAAAATGCAAATATGCGTTGTTTATGACAAGGAGGCAATATTGTTTAAAAATAATATCAGATTGCAATTAAACCATCGACTACCTATGAAGTGTGGGAATAAAGCCGATTTTAATTTGAACTAAAAATCAACATAATTCGCCAATGTAGCACGTATCGACCATGTTACCTTGGACTGTACTGGCTTAGTCATTGGTATTAAAAGCGGAGGTTACGAATGAATCAGTAGAACTGAGACATCGATTGTTATGACACTGGAGACAAAGAGTATGATGATTTTTTTAAATTTGAAAGTTTTATACGACGTCTATAGATATAGCTTTATGTAAACAAAACAAAACAAAAGAAAACAAATTATATGCGATATTTTATAAATTCAAAAAGGTTGCTGACTGTTATGGGTTTTATTTAAAAAAAAGGATATAAAATAGTTTAGGAAACGAACCCTTTTAATAAAACTAAAAAGCACTACGTAACTAAGGAATTAAACACAAATATACAATGAAAATTAATTATCGCTGTCTTACTCTCTTAAACTCGTATTTTATAAAGAGTAATTATTCAGAAGATGGCAAAACTTTCTATTTATTTTAAATTTCTTATCAAGGGTGTTAATTTGGATGCATTACTTTAAGAATAGATAAAAGCTAGTGTGGAAATATGAAGGAAATGTGATGTGGAATCAGAATCACAAAAATTGTATGGACAATCCATTTTTTGCTTTTTAGTAACTTTGTGCTGTAAGATACGAGTTTGAGAAAGTAAGGCGACGTTATGTGTTTGTATGGACTTAGGCTTTATTATGATTTAATCCTGTAAATGCTATGAAAACTTGCGAATGGCAAACATAGTAGTTTGGATTCCCATTTCTATTTGAATATTGATTACTGAATATTTTAAATTTTAGGTGAAAGTAACACAGAAGTTGCCTAACTGCAATGATGAGAAATTCATCAGAACTCTCGGAAAGGGAGATTTCTTCGGAGAGAAAGCATTACAAGGGTAAGTACTACATTTGTTCTGTATTCTGTCTTGATGTGAACACCCACTTCAGCCTTGTGTATGGGTATTTTCATGTTCATTCGAATAATATAATAGATGTGAAGTTGTAGCTTTTTAAACTAAAAAAAATATTTTTTACTTTAAAAAGTATTATTTTTCTCACAATCTTGGTTTTTCAAACTCTATAAATGTTCCCGTATACATCAAAATGTACATAATATTATATAAAGTGATTCAAACCCAGACAATTTTATTTCTATAATCACGTAAATACCCCGTCTACTTTACAATGAATATATCGCGTATACATTTAGCGTTATTATGTTCTATGACCATAGAGTACCTAGAAAAATGCGTTTTTTTATACAAAACGAGGGCAGTTGCTTGGGCCTGAAGCATGTAATTGTATATTGCGCGTTTAGCGCTTTTCTTCTTTGTACTTCGCTGGGTCGGTTAAGAGGTTAAGAGGTTATGTAATTTAGAGGAAAACTGACAAACCACGACACGACACGTCAGATAAATGTAAATCCGGCTTAATAAGTCTTTCAGTCCTGAGCAACACTTAATTTAAATTTTTTATAACCCCCGGAATTGCCCAGTAACATGTTTCATTTGGGTGAGAGAATTAGATATAATCTATTTATTTAACTTCATTTATGTGTAACGATTTTGATGGTAAATATTAGTATTAAAAATATACAATAATAGAAATAAGAGGTAGAAAGTTAGTAACTTTTTTACTACCTAACACACCTAAGTAATTATTTCAAGAAATCGTCGAGAAACTTCACTTAATCAGAAAGTTATGGCACATAAAATTCATATTGATCGTTAATCTAGATTAGTCTGAGATTTATTCGACGAAATGCTATAATTTTCAATAACCTTCTCACATTAAACTTCAACCCATATCGTCACTTTCATCACAAATTGGGGTAATTTATAATTATCACGAAAGTAAGTTACGTAACTAGTTCGATTAAAAATTTACGTTCCTTGTTGTGGATGTTGTTGATCACTGCTGCAGTCAGAGCTTCAGTATTGTTTCTATGAGTGACTTAACACGTTCACCATTCACCTGTTTTAAATACTAAGGCGAGTCTCCGGAGGAGAATCTGGAAAAACTGTTTTGCTAGATCAAATGGTTTAGGTATTTACCATTAAATAACGGTCTTACAAGAAAATGTATCATACACCTAAGGATTTTAAGAGATAATTTCAACGTATGTAATTTCTTCCTTTTTTAATTTGTTTTATTTTATTTTTTTTGTAATGAATGATTTTAAATTTACGTAATTTTTAACATTTTCGTATTTTTTTTCATATTATTTTGATTATTTCATAATATTATTATTAATTCATAATTCATGCGTTATTCCCTTATTTCATGTTATTTTAGTGTGTAAGCTTAAGCTGTGTACAATAAAATTGTAATTGGATAGCAGTCGCAAAGAGATGTACTGATAATGTTATTTTAAGTAAATGTGACTGGTGTATCTGTAATTGTACCACATTGAATAAATAAATAAATAAATGTTGTCCAAAGAATGTGCTAATTTGTTACACGATAGGATGTACTTTACTTGATCATATAAAATCCTGAAAACAGGCGGAAATAAAAGTCAAAACGTATTATTCAAGAATAAAATATCTAACTTTCCACATTATTTGATAATGGAGATATTTTTCTTTAAGTACTACATAGAACCTGCTAAATTTTGGTTTTCTACTGAAGTCCTATAGTTATTAAATTTCATATTTATCCCAAAACCTGAAAATTACCTAGCGGTTTAACGATGCGACGCGTTGTAGCTGCCCCGTCAGTCGCCATCGGGCGGTTGTCAACGTCGGATCTGTGTCAAATTTTCTCCGCCTGTTCTTATTTTATTCATATTAATTTTCAGCGCGCGGATTGCGGGACTCGAGTGGCGGTCCCCTACAACTCATCTCCTAAAATGTCGATTCTCGTTGAAATACCTCGCCTTAACAAAGAAATAACTAATGCAATCAGCGGACATCATCTATTAATAGGGTTGAGGCTTGCCAGTTTTCTGCTAAATTACATAACCTTCTCAGGCCAAAGACTCTACAATGTGGTAAACGCTATAGGCCCAAAGTAAATTGAAATGTACTAAATATTTCAAATGTTCACATTTTATATCACCTTCAGGCCCAAGACATGTGGGTAGATTTGTATGAAAAACCATTATTTCTAGATACCCTATAGTCATACAGAATATACATAGTGAATACATGTATAGCGCGAGATTTGAATGCGATATTTTCATTGTAATGCATTTTGCGCGTTTACGTCATCATAGGAACAATATTAGAAAGATAGTTACAGTAGAATTAAGGACGATTTGTAACGATGGGACTGGCATTACCGCAAAGCGGTAAAAGCCGTATGCTTTAAATAAAAGATACGACGCATCAGTGACATCTACGGAACACGAAACACCTAAAGATCTTTCTTCTTCAGCCTTTAGTCACCCACTGCTGAGTGTAGGTCTCCTGATTTGCACACCATTCTCTTGGGTCTTGGGCTATTTGCATCCAGGTCCTTTTTGTTACCTTGCCTTGACTATATCGTCCGTTTATCTAGCCTTCTGGCGGCGGATGCTCTAGTACCGCTTCTTGGTCTCCACTCCAGCACTCCACCGGCCCTCGGTTCTGCAGCTTGTGACTGTATTTCACACAGATTGACACCCAACATTTCGCGTTCCATTTATCTTTGGGCTACCTGCAACTTTTGGACGCATAACCGGCATAACCGACTGAGCACAGTGCTCATAAGCCCTTCGTTTGAGAGAAAGAGTCAGCTTCTTGCATCTGAAAATTTGAAACAACTTACCGAACGCCCCATAACTGAATCTAATGCGACTTTGCACTTCTTTAGATTGTCCGTCCTTCCCAAATTTATTCAGCTGCCCCAAGTCGACATTTTCGTCAATTCGCTCAATTTTTTCCCGTTCACCATGATGCTGTTCTCGATGGGCTCCTTACACATGATTTTAGTCTTTATGGTGTTTTCTCTGACCAACATTAAATATCTTTATGGACGTGTAACGTGTTAAGAATGTCACTGCAAACACTGAATTGAGCAAAAACAAACCCCATGCATATTATATAACAAGCGCGGTCTGTAGGTTTGCATGGGGAACTAAATTTTGTGCCACAAATTAAAGGTAACATTTTTATTATTCATTAACTGACTGGACTCAAATCAGTGAATGTTGAATGCCGAGGCCACAAACCGAATCAGCAGAGCTTACGATTTCCTTATGTGCTTGTTACAGATGTTTGTATTGAGTTTAAACGTCTTTTCACCATCAGATCGATCGAATTTTTTTTTGAGTTCGGTTTTTGTATCATTATTAATAACAAAGTAGTGTAGTTACTATTTTTGCTAAATTTGTTTGATCTCGTGAGTACAATAACCTCTTAAATATTAAACATCACACATGTTGCTCTGATCCCAAATACCTAAAGCACTTGTGTTATGGAAATCGGAAACAACGGCGGTACCATAAACACTCTCACTCGAATACAGAAAACTTCGTTTTTCTACATTGACCCGTCTGGGATACGAACTCGCGACCTCAGAGTTGGCGACACCATGAACACCGGTGTGCAAGCCACTCGACACAGAGGTCATCAAAAAACTTGTAACTTGTCTGGGGGTTCAAGATACAAACTGTATTAGTAGACCTCGCTGCAAATGACAATGACACTAAAAATAATATTAGTAAAATATACTTTATATATATTTTTCAGTGACGATCTCCGCACAGCGAACATAGTCTGTGACTCACCAGAGGGTACTACGTGTCTCGTCATTGACAGAGAGACCTTCAACCAGCTCATATCGGCCCTCGACGAGATAAGGACGAAGTACAAGGATGAAGGAGATAGTAGAGCAAGGTAATTTTTTTTCAATATTGGTTGCTACGTATAGGATAATCACGCCTAAGTAAGTAATAATTACTAATTTAGATTGGCTTCACTTCAACGTTTCGATGAAGTCTCAGCAACTAAACTTCTTTCAAACTAAGAAGTTTAGTTGCTGGGCTCCGTCCTCCTCTCGTAATGGGAGGGCCTGGGCTGTACTTTCCACGCTAATGTGGTAACTTCACACACGTCATTAAATCGTTTTGCAGATGTGTGTAGGTTTCCTTACGATGTTTTCCTTCACCGAAAAATTTCAAATTAATTTTCGCACATAAATTCTTAAAAACTCGTGGGTGCAAGCTCGGATTCTAACCCGCGCCTTTTGTTTGAGAGGCAGGTCAACCACGGCTCATTATAAATGATATTTAGAAATATGGAATGACTAAAATAAACCTTATGTATTTACGACCAGCAGTCATACATACAAAAGAAGCGTCGAAAGCCGATCACCACGTTGCTATTAACAAATTTATCTCGTTAACATCATTATTAGTAATCAAGTATTACAAATATCAAAATAAATTTGCGTACGTTCAAAATTTTTAAACCTTAACAATATTCTTAGCCTCAACAGCGTGTCTCAAATTCTAATAAAGCACGTTCCACATTCTAATAAGGAAACAATTACTGAACGTAATAAAAATGCAATTCATATTTGGAATGCCATGTATTGCAATATGTACCATGACGTTCGGTAATGTCAAGTTCACAAAACACCGAATCTAATGCCAGTGATATGGAAAACAATGGATTTCACTTGCATTGCTGCTATTTGTGACTACAATGGTATTGTTTTCATTTATCTTTTTTCGGTGGCAAAACAATGGCTTCTGGTCACACTAGAATTAAAATAGGAGGTGCTGTAGCAATATGAGATAATTAAGCATGTTTTTATTTAACGTCTCACTTGACTTTTGTTGTTTAAGAAATCGGAAGACCACAAAAAAGTATTGTATTTATAGACTATTTACTTCTTTCCATCTATGATCTTTTTTTACGGTTCAAATTTTTTAGTAAAGAAACTCGGTGAAATAACGAAAACCGATATATTGAGTATTTCAAAATGGCCACCGTAAAAATGAAAATCCCGCAATAATGTCCGTTAAATTAAACTATTCAAGAAAATAACAATCCAAGATTTGGCAGTATGGCCCATTAGATACCTTAGTTACGTAGTAACCTTAAACTGTCCCCAAGGACGAAAAATTTTATTACAAGGAACAAAACCAATAATCTACACCGTCCCTTAGACTGTCTGTTCGAGTTCAAGCAGGTTCTTCGCTTACTAAAATATTTGAATTCGTATGTATATAATAGTTAATTAAGATTTACTTATTATAATGATACGGTATTCGTAATTAAGTTTGAAATTATGAGTTTTATTATTCATTATGATAGTTTCTTTCTTTGTTATTTGATTTACAATTGCACTTAATGTTAAAATATAAAAAATTGAATCGTACTGTATCTCAATTTCACTTTCTGTTTATGCAAACTGTGGATTTCATTAAATCGTGGTAAGTCTGATCTAACCAGGTCTTAATTAAACTAAGATATTTTCATCACTTTCTTTAAGAAACCAGTTGTCAAAGATAACGAGTATAATTAAGTAACGCCTTGTTATTAACTTTCCTTTCGGAAAATCATTGCGTTTTTAAACACTATAGACGTACTTAGTTCCCGCGTTTTTTTTACTCTACGTGTATGTGAGCATTGTATGTTTACAATTACATTGATGTATGAAAGTTGAATTCTGTTTGTTAAAATACCAATCGTTGCTTAAACCTTGTAATTTTACTTTTTATTCTCATTAAGGGGTTTAATTAAATGTTTTATCCGTCGTTCTTCATTATGAGAACAAATATGATTAATTCAAATTGCCGTATAGTTGAAATAATGCGACGTAGGTATTTCATTTACAGAAAGATGGGTTCAAGACATTGTAGATTTGTTCTTAATTTTTAGTGAAAACAGAGAGTGAATGATTGAATGGAATATTGAGTGAGTAAAAGTACATCAAGACTGGAGATATCGAAGTTACCAAAATCTTGCTTTTGTCATGATCTTTGGTAGTAAGTTGTTTACTTGACAAGATACAATACAAAACGCACTAATTTTCGTTTTTTTATTTCAATGCTTATAAAGTAGTGATGTCCTTATTGTCTTTTGTGACTATGTTGACGGCAATTGTTATTTTCCAGACTCAACGAAGAATTTGCCAATCTCCGTCTCTCAGATTTGCGCATCATTGCGACACTGGGTATCGGCGGTTTCGGAAGAGTCGAGCTGGTGCAAATTCAAGGAGACCCCACCAGGTAATAACTATAATATAGTTCATACATTCAAGTACTTTTTTTTTCTTAACAGATTAATGTGAACCTTTTAAGAGCTAATACTTTTCTCCTTAATGTTTCATACGTTCTTGTCAGTTGCTACAAGTGCAAAAGATTCCTGTCCATAATTTCCTCTCCATCTCCACACATTAGGTAATAACATCATAAGCTACAACTTTTGTTTCATGACATTTAATAATTCATCAGAGATCGCTTTCGTACAAAAATAAAAATATTTAAATAGTCCTTTCTACACGTTGATAACTCTACGCTACTAAAAGCGCTAGTGTACCGGTGTGATGCAAAATGCAGGACGGGCGGTGGTCATCGGGCAGCTCATTTGCATGTTTGAACTTACTACCTTACTCCCAAATACAGACCTAAAAATGGTCAGATAGTACAAGAAAAACGTATTTTTGGTAAATTTATTATGATTTGTAAAACGTTATGGAACAAAAGTTGTTTATGATGTTACTAATATATACCTAAGAGGCTGTTAGTATTCTACAAATAACTCTGTGTAGTTAGTTACTTATAAGGGACTTTGAGATTTTTTATGACAATGTACCAACGCACCCTTGCTTCCTTTCTTACATTTTCACATCATTTTTCCAGATCGTTTGCCTTGAAACAGATGAAGAAAGCTCAGATCGTTGAAACTAGACAACAGCAACACATAATGTCCGAAAAGGAGATCATGTCGGAAATGAACTGCGAATTCATTGTAAAGCTGTTCAAGACATTTAAAGATAGAAAGTATCTGTATATGCTGATGGAAACTTGCCTAGGTGGAGAGCTGTGGACTATTTTGAGAGACAAAGGTGACTTTTGCTTCCTAAAATAGAATAGCTGAACTTTCCTGTAAATATATTGGGTAGTTTCCGCGTTACTTAACAAGTACCATGGTAATCGACACAATTTCTTGCGGACATTGACCGACGCCTACAGGAAACCTATATCATACGTGTGGGATTATTTTAAAAACGAGGTGATGTTATGCGAATCTACAATAAAATGCAATACGGGTAATACGGGTCAATATCACGGGATAATATCAATTAGGGAGTGACCACACTTATAGTGGAATCGGCTTGCGCCGGGCAGAACTTAAGAGCGAAAAAAACGTGCGTTTCGTTTCCGCTCGGACTATCGACGCGAACCGCATATCGCTTATTACATTTTTTTTAATATCAAGCGACGGGACAAACAAGTCGCGGGACAAAATAGTTGCAGTGCCACTCAGAACTTTATATCACAAAACTGATAGGCACTGCCAATGCGCCCGTCACCTTGAGACATAAATTGACCAATGTGTCTATAATTTCGCCAGCACCCTTACCTTTCAAAACCGGAATGCAGTGATGCTGCTTGACGGCAGAAATAGGTAAGGTGGCAGTACTTTCTTAGGCGATCACTTTCACAAAGAGCTTTACTGCTGCTACTGAGATGAGCTCTACAGTTATATGACCATAACGCTTTCGCAGTCCGATATTGTAATTGTGTGATAGATAGATAGATAGATAAAGCATTTATTCTGCACATTATATCGCAGCATTACATTTAATAAGAAAAGGACGGTTACAACAAATATTGTACTGAATAGGTTTCGGCTCAGCACAATGCTGCCAACTTTATAAGTGCAAGCACGTGTGGTGGCTCCCTTATCAAAATCCGACAATCCACTTTACTGTACAAAATTTCTAGATAACTAATAACGTCACTAATCTTTTTTTTATACATATGTTTCAGGGCAATTCGACGATGCCACGACAAGATTTTATACAGCCTGTGTGGTTGAAGCTTTCCATTATCTACATTCTAGGAATATTATATACAGGTAGGCATAATTCTGTATACATTTCAACCTATTTAGAAAGATGATAGATCGTGCAAAAAAATGTGCCGATTACGCACATATTTTTAATCCATATTTATTTTCTAGGGATCTCAAGCCAGAGAATTTACTACTAGACTCGAAGGGTTACGTGAAACTGGTCGACTTTGGTTTCTCGAAGAAACTGCAAGCCAGTCGCAAGACTTGGACGTTCTGCGGCACGCCGGAGTACGTTGCACCTGAGGTCATCATGAACAGAGGCCATGACATCAGCGCGGACTATTGGTCCTTAGGTAAAATTTGTTTTTTTTTTTTAACTTTATAGCAATAAATAGCCTTATGTATCACTCTTCAAGAAGAAAGATTTGCGTAGCATGCGTCATTGCGTGGTTGTAGTTAAGGAGTTTGGTCACGTGTCATGTCACGTGGCAGGACAAACAAGTCGTGTGCTTTGGTGTTAAGCAACCCGCCTGTCCATAGCAGTTGCAGTGCCACAGAGCTTTAAATCGAAAATGATCTCTGGGATGCTCTGCGCCCGTCACTCTAGAGCATATTTTCCCAAAGTGGTCCCTACCGCCCAGTGGGTGCTGAAGAGTACGTAGGGACCGGAAGCAATTGGCATTCGAAAAAAAAAACTGAATTGTCTGTAATAAATTGTGTTACTTAATATAAAAAATTCGTGTTTTCAATTATTTTTTGCGGTGTTGGCCGTTGAAATTTTTTTATTTTGCTTAAGGGGGGCGAAAAACTTTGGGAACCTATGCTCAAGAGTCTCTCAACGAATGTTATATAAAGATCATGGGAGCGTTTAATTTTGGATATTTCTAGTATTATTTTTCAAAAATAGCCTTTCACTCATTAGGTAATGTACTTTCATTATCAGTTTAAAGGTTTTTTATATATCTTATATTTACGGATTAATCGCCTATGCATACTTGTCATCGTTAAGTCCTGTATAATAATCATAACTATGAATATAAAAAAAATATGAATCTCACTTCAAACGTCATCTGTTAATATTAGGTTGTTACATAACCTCATTTTTCTAAATCTTTTATGTCTCGGATTGTCAAAATTAGCAGAATTTTCAGTAATGCTTTCATATATATATAATGCAGCTATCAATGGACACAACTTTCGTATTTTTACATCTAGGCCCAAGACTGTATAAAAACTTATCAGTCTCCGTTAAAACATCGTCGTGAATTTTGTAGGTTTTTTTTTGCAGCAAACACAATTTAACCATAAACTTAAATTTTCCAGGTGTTCTCATGTTTGAGCTTCTCACTGGTTCCCCGCCATTTACGGGAGCTGACCCCATGAGGACATACAACAAGATCCTCAAGGGCATTGATGCTGTGGAGTTCCCTCGATGCATTACGAGGAATGCTGCAAACCTGATTAAGAAATTATGCAGAGACAATCCAGCCGAGCGGCTTGGTTACCAGAGGGGTGGCATTACTGAGATACAGAAGCACAAGTAAGTTTATAAATCAATCATTGATTGTTGTATGATTGAAAAAAGTGCGACAAGAAATCGCAAACATCAGACAAAAGTTAAGTCCAGTTAAGTCAGATATCTGCAGACGATTTTAGATTGCCGTAGCGATATGGTTGTGAAGCAACATTTTAGTAGCAGTAGAGCACCTTGTGAAAATGTTCGTCCAGGGAAGTACTGCCATCTTACCTACTTCTGCCACTAAGCAGTAATGTGAGTATTACTGAGTTCTGGTTTAGAAGGATAAGGGTGCTGGTGAAATTACAGGCACATGGGTATGTCAACTTATGTCACAGTGCGCAGTGGCAGTGCCCCTCAGATGTTTGCGATTTAAACCTCTGCGTGGCATTGCAACTCCTATAGACAGGCGTGTCGTTTACCACCAGGCGCACGACTTATTCGTTTCGTTACTTGGTATCATAAAAAAAAACATTATTGGAAACAATATGACGGAGTTGAAATCGTAAGTAAAATTACCACAAATTGTCTACTTTAGGACAATGGTGTCGAAAAAAGTTATACCGCGAGCATACCGCTCTGAACCAACTCACCTACTGACCGAGTCAAATCTTACGAATTTCTTTACATGTTTGTTAGATATCTATTAATTAGAGAGATGCTTTTAAAAATAAACTCAAAGAGCACATGTTAATCCTACAAAATACGCCTGAAGTAATTTTATAATATCGAGTTCTTAGGTTTTCGCGATTGTTACACATAGGAAATGAAACTATTTTTCCGGATTTAAATCGCGTATTTTTTTTTTTTCAAACAAACCGACGTTTCGGGCCCTTTACAGGTCCCATGGTCACGGTTGACTGAGGTGGTACAGTCTTCAACCAGTTATGTCTAATATTGATGCAAACCACCCTATTTTTTCACTATAGTTACAATAGTTATTAATTAAATACTTTATTTTTAATTTTACGAAGAAACATTTCAATTTACGCTAGAGTTTTACAAACAATTTTATTGAATAAATTTTTATTAAGTTCAATTTATTATTAGTTAATAATAGAAATTAGAATAAAACTTATTAATTAGTACTGCAGTCTTATGTCTGTTTGGGATTTTTCATTAGAGGAAATACTGGATCCCAAACTGATGGTACGGAGAAACCATCTACCCTGTTGAAATTAGTATGTTTTTTAATTTCAATGGCCTTTAGCAGCATCCTGGGTAGATAACGGACTTTTTTTGCAAGGACCAGGGGTTTTTCAAACTTCATTGAATGCGTAGGTTCATCCATGACATGCTCGCAGACTGTAGACTTGTTTACGCGACGGCGTTTGACATCAGCTTTAGGTTCTTTGAATATGTATAATAATTAAATTAAAATATAAATGTAATAAAAAATATAAATGTAATAAAATAATAATTAATTAATTTTCTAAAAATCATAAAATCATAATATTGTACGTACACATGTATTGTGCTAAATAAATTTCTTTTCTTTCTGTCTAGACCTTTTCTAATTTAGATATAAACGGCTTTTTTACCTTCAGATTATTCAATTGATTACTATCTGCTAACTTCTCCTATAACCCTATACCTAAACCTATAACTTCTCCTGAGGACCCATTAACCCATTAACGTCTCATGCACCCCACATTTTTTTTCACTTGTAGTTTGGCATGGACCCCTGGGATACAGATATCGAAATAGACCAATTGGAAAATCATCATTCTTGATCTTGACTCGTTCAAATTTTATTTTGGCTCTTACTACTTATTTCATTATCAAATCTAGTTGAACAAATTAGAACTTGCAATTCGAATTTAATGCAAACACTCCATATAGTAGTGTCATTATATTTTATGTTATATTTTGTATTGTAGTGTTAATTACTAATTAATTAGCTCGTAAAATTGTTGGTAGTTTTAAGTGACGATTTGACCATAATAGCTGGCGTTGGTATTTTGTTCTAAAAAAATCGCAATTGTTGCATCACGTTTGAAATTTTTTGAACGACTTTTTAACGGTTTTTATTATTGCAGATGGTTCGACGGCTTCAACTGGGAAGGTCTAGCACAACGTACATTGGAACCACCAATCATGCCCGTAGTGAAGTCCCCAGTGGACACGCACAATTTCGACCAATATCCAGCCGATGCGGATGAACCCCCGCCAGATGACCTATCAGGATGGGATGCTACTTTTTAAATCAGTCGGATTATAGTGAGTGAGAGTTGCGAGAGTGAGATAGAAGGTATTTTTTTATCTGTTGCTATCATGTAGAACATTGTTGAAGTTGAACTTTATGTATGTTTTGATTCCGGTTTCATGTGAGTTACACGATATTGGCACAAGTTTTTTTTTAAACGATTTAATGTAATCTGTTAAGTGCAGACATGTATATGGATAAAATCAAGTTACTATAATAACTCTAATATTTTGTTACTCAAATTATTTTAATTCAAATGGTGCATGTACACAGCTTTTCACATTTAATTCACTTAAGTTATGTAAAAAATATACCTAACTACTTTTAAGAATAAATTGCCATTAAATTATTAAGGCCTTGCCGATGGGAGTCGCCATCTTTTTGTAAAAAGAAAATATGTTTTTTTACATTTCATTCGATCGATACCCTCTTATACATATATGTCACACACTTTGTTGCCTATTTTCCCGTCCCATCTTTGTTTTCTACGTTTTCAAATTTAATGTAAGCATTTTATTTAAATAGTCACCTTAGCTCATAAAATACGTAAAAATACAGGATATAGAATAATACAACAAAACACCACTTTAAGAACATAAATAGCTTATATTCCATTTTCAATAATATATTTTCTTTAAAAAAATCGTAATAATCAGTGGTTAATATACCACTTATCATTAATAAATTTGACTAATATTTGGTGATACATAATAACAATGTGATACATCACAAAATATTAGTCACTTGTGATAAGAACACGTTCTATTATAAATTTATAACCCAATAACGTCTGTTATTATTGGATATTGAAACATCCAAATGGTGCTCAAATGATGTATAAACAATAACAATAATGAACCTTAATACATAGAAAACAAAAATTATCGAACAACATCGTTTAAAATTAAGGTGTCAGTAAAGTTTATTAGGAATTTAATGATGTCGATGTTTTTGCGTACATTTCAAACTAATTTGACAGTAATAATTAACTTTGAGAATTTTCATTTTATAAGGCACATTTTTGTTCATGCCTGTCATTGCATCTTAAAAACTTAGGGCGCCTTCTAGGACGACACTCGTACTGTAGAACCGCTGCGTGGCGCTTCTGTGGCATGGCAGCCGCGCCATTACTAATGTTCATACAATGTCTAGTCTGCAAAAGTAGCGCAACTGTGGTAATGCAGCTGCGCTTCTAAAGATTGTATGAAAATTCTATTACGCTATTATGAGCGTCTGATTTGAACGCGCCCTTGCGATATAATAATAATATTAAAATTGGATCACCTGATGGATTATACTTTATTGAATGAACAGATCTTTTTTCAATCAAATGTACTTAAAAACAAACAAGCGAATATACTTCTTTTTTCAAGTCTGCTTTGGCACTACTCTACACTAAGAAGTGATATGTAGGATACGTGCGTAATACATTGATAAAGCCTAAAATTCTTGAGACGTAGGGCTTATTTACCGATAGTGAAAATATGACATTTATGCCATTGTATGCGTTCAGTGTAAAAGGAAGAATGATCGGAATGTGTAAAACAGTTCAATTCATGATCAACGGTGTGTAAAAAATATTATAACATTTGGAGGGTATTTTTTGTATTTTTACGAACCTAATTTCCACCGGATGTGAATCCTTTTCCAAATTTAATGAAACAAAATGGCCGCCATTCAATTTTCAAAGTCTCCGAGACTGAAGAGTCTCGGAAACTGGAAGAAAAAGAAATAGGTGCTAGAAGGCAGTGCGATAGAACTGTCATAGTATATGACTATAATTTATTAGTCTTAACTGACGATTTCAATAAAAAGTTATATTCTTTTGGCTGAAAATTGGTGTACGAAAAAAATTGTAGATGAAGTAAATTTAATTTAAGTAAGTAATAAATATATTTGCCACATATTTAGAGTGCAATTGTAGAGCAGAAAATTCATTGAAAGCTCAAGTATGCAGTAGAAGGCCTTATTGATTAGCGCATCCCCCAATCCCGATCGTACGCGCCCCCACCGTACTTTATATGCCAGTCTGTCAAATGAACGTTAAATGGAAAATGTACACAATAACATTGACATTACTGTAAATGTTAATTAAGTATCCAAGTCCACTAATAGTTTTTTTTAAGTTAGAAGTTTAGTTTTGTCATGTACTAAACAATTATTTTAAGCTTTTTTCAACGGTAGCTATCTCCAAAAACATGACATAATGTAAGACTAATCGTTTTCACTTATTTAAAATAGTCAATTTATGTTTAAGTCTCCCCATATTTAAGAATTTTCATTGTAAATATCCTGTAGGAAAATATATAAATAAAAAAATCTATCCAATTGTTTAAAAAAAAAATTATACAACTTAGAGTAATGGCGTAATGCAATGTAAGTGTAACTGCAGTAAATAAAATAGGGAAATATATTTTTGTAATCATAGCTTGATAATTAAATATTTTACGATTTTCAGAAAATGTGAAAATATACATTATTTCAATTAGATTTTGTATTGTTTGTTTTTTTTTGACGTGATCATTAACGACGTAGATAAAGACTTACACACGTATTATTCCACTGTCTTCAATAACGAAATGGAAAGATTTATATGATCCATTCGTTGCGTCTTTTGACGACATCTTTATCTCTCGTATGAGTCGCGTCTTAGAATCCTCTATATGTATATCTATATACAAATATTAAGGCACCTGAGGCTCCATTTATAATGCCACGGAACAGAATGGAAGCTTTGTTGAAGAAATTTATAACCATAGCATAATGAACTTCATTTCAATTGTGTAAGGGTGCGTTCCCATTAGGTATATAGTGATGACAGATAGTCATACAGTTTAAAGGGTCGTGCCTTGTCCTTGTAATTGAAGTTGTTCAAAACTTTTTTGACGTTACTATGACAGACTGTCGTGACAATGGGTAAAGTTAGAACGACAGTCATCGGACGATAAATAAAACGACATGATAAAAATGTGACGACAGGTAATCGCAACTTTAAACGATTTTGTCGTGTAAACGACAAGGCGGCTGCCGTGAACCGATAAATTGTCGGTATGATTTAGTGGGAACAACTAGACACGACAGTCGTTCAACGATGAAATAAACGTCCACGACACAGTCACGACAGACCACGACAGTTCGTCCACCAATAAATAAAACGCTACGACATATTGGGAACGCGCCCTAACGTACAAACTATACACAAGCCGAATAAGAGTTCGCGCGTCCTCCGGAGAAGTCTCACAGCTACTATATCGTAACTAGTTTGTATATTACACATTTGATATAAAGTTTATTATATTATGTACAATTTAGTTAATAAAATTCGCTTCCATTACGGTACGCAGTAATGTAAATTGAGCCTGCCAGGTGGCCACAAGTGATTATTTTCAAGCGAACAGTTCTAAGCTGGGTTTGAAAAAAATATCAATAGTAAATCGGTAACACAATAATCTTTGTGTTATCGGCTACTTATGACGTAATTACAAAAAAATACCAGTGCACCGAAAATAACAGACAATCACAGAAACACTTATTTCCAGAAACAAAAGCACTAACACCCGCGCATGATTCGTCTGACATTATTATTTTCAACAGAAACAACCTGGTATAGGACGTAACGTTTACGGCATCATTTAATTTATTTAAATCCTAAAGTAGTAATGTATTTCACACTTTATACAAGACCACCTTTCTCGCTTGCATGTGCATTACTAATTACTCTAACTCGATCTCAATTGGGTTAACCTGCCGTAAGAATTCACGTATTTAAAACGATACGGACATGGTCGCTTTTTCTTAGGAATTTAAGAGGCAGTTCAAGACCAGGTTTTCCATGAGGAAATTAAGGAACTTCACAGCAGGCAGGTGCGTAAGCGCAGGGCAAGTGTGGGGCTCCGAAATGGTGAAACTCAGTAAATTTAGATAAGTTATGTCTGAAAGGTCGGTACGATTTGGGAACTACTGTAGTTTTAGTACAACCGTGACAACTGATCGCTATTCACAGAGAAACAAGTGGTTCTGGCCGTATTTCTACACGATAACGCCAAAAGTACTGCCACCATCTCTATTTCAGCCGCCAAGCAGTAACGTAAGCTTTACTGTGTCCCGGTTTTGAAGGGTAAAGATGCTGGTGAAACTACAGGCGCACTTATCTGCTTACGTGTTAGAGGGAAGTGCGCAGCGGCAGTGTCCCTAATCTTTGCGATTTAAGCGGCATTGCAACTGTCACGAACAGGCGTCTCGCTTACCACCAGGCGCACGACTTTGTTCGACCCGTCATTTGGTATCATAAAAAAACTGAGAACCTGTTTATAAAAGTTCGTTTTCCAAATTGGTCCTACCGGGAATCGAATCGGGACCGCCTCATCCAACGTGCAAACCATTGTGCCACCAAGGTCTTCAATAACAGGAGAAACAATATAGTTTCCTCGAAACGTGCAGAAGTGAGTTCTAAAACTTTGTGAATTTGCAACACCAACACCGCTATTCTACCAAAACAAAGGAACTGTCAGGAAAGTGGCTGAAGTGTACCCATTGGTGGCGTGCGTGAATATTTTAATTAAATAAATGTTAGTTTTGAAAACACGAATATCATAGGTATTTTAAATTATTATGTCACAATTACTAAATTTATAAACTCAAGCCGATGGAAATATTTTTGTAATATAAATTACACAGAACGAAACTTAGTTTTATTCCAGTCTGCGGTAAAAATAAGTTTCAGGCAACCTGTTGTGTAACTCTTGTATGTATGTAAACTAGAGAGGTGCAAGTAAAAGAAATATATTCCTAAATATCACTTAATGGCGTTTATTGTTTCAGATTTGCATGAATTTTTAAAAGTTTTTCATGCGTTTTCAATGACTAAATTTAATATTCAGAACACCAACAAGCTATAGTCCATAAAAGGCTATATTATTTTAACCTAAGAACTGGAAACCATCTAGTATCTTTCATCTAAAATTATTATTTATTCATTGCCATCATATTTTTAAAAGATCTTACTTAATATTCATGACTGTGTTCATGCAGATTTGTCCGTTGACGAAAATAATCCAAACTAACATTTACGAAGAAAATTAAAGAGTAATTTATTATCACGAATCTCAAATACGTAAGCAACATCTGTAGGTGTGTTTAAAAATAACAGTATGTCTCCGCCAACCTACTGTTCTGCAGTTTGGTGGTTTTTAAATTTGTAGCCTCTTGGTTACAAATTTAAAGGCCGCCAAATTGCAGAGCAGTTACTCTTATTTTAAAAAAGAAAAGCAAACGGTTTATTTACTTTTATTTTATTTTTTATGACCGAAAAACAAACGTTATCAAGAGTACTTTGTGTATACTCTGCTGTTCTGCCGGTTCCAAGTCATATTTCATACATATTTCTGATACTAGTATATGGAAAGAGTTTAAGTAAATAGCACTGGCTCTTTATTTACATTATAAAAATTAATCCTATTATAAGTTTTAGATGGTTTTACAACAAAATTCGCTGTATAAATAATGTTAGATTGGAGCTTTTTTTAGCGTGTATTTTTTACACGCAAACGTTCGCTACTCGGTAACGGCGTAGCCAGTAAACATTCGCACATGTTCACAAATTCAGTGACGCGATTCATAAACGCGCGTCATATGTGCATAGGCAATGCAGGCGACTGCAGGTGACAGAGCGGCGGCGGCGGCGGCGTAGTGGCGTGAGTACGTGCCCCTGTCTCGCTTTACTCAACCTTGCAACGCGATATGGTTGTTGTAAGTTGTTGAATCAAACGCGCCTAAAACGCGGTCCAGCGTAGCTGCGTATGTGCGTTTGCATAGCTTCGTACTCGCGTTTGTATCGATTCGCAACGCAACAATCTGCTTTTTGAGCCTCTGAATACGTGTTCGTGAAACGCGTGCTGTCTGCGTAAAAAATGAGTCGTGTGTACATACCCATAAGTTGAATTCGGATTCAATAGATTTGCAGATACTGCCAACCGTAGTAAATGTCAACAGATGCGTTAAAATCTTACAGAATTTAGCAACTCAGTTCATCTCTTGCACCGAACGTCCAATGCATCCGAACCCGGAATTCCGTCGCACGCCCGCCTATCGCCGAGTCGAGTCCTTTCCTATCCTCTCGACAACTTTATGTTACGCCATAAACTGGGCCGTGTTTGTGCATTGTATTGTATTTCAGTAAACTTTGAACTCAATTCTATACGTTCACTAAATCTAAATTACGT